GTGTGTGGCTGTCCGTCATCCCATCTCACCTTTGCCCCAGCCCTGTAAACCAATATGGTTATCTTCAATTCACACACGTGGGAAACAGAGCTAAGGAGGGCAGCGGCACGAGGGAAGGTGGTAAGCCGCAGGGCTGAATCTCGACTCCAGGTCTGCCTGCAGCTCTTCAATTTGTTCCATCACACGGGGGAGCGGGGGGATGCCTCCAGGGCCTAGTGGTAGAATCAAGTTACCGGAAAGGTCCTGGAATTTGTCATTTTAACTTTTTATGCTATCGGTAATCTTATTAGTGAAAATCTTAAGTGAAGATTTTTCGGGGCAAGTGTTCTTGCGTGTCAGTGTTATTAAGGAGAATGGAGGAAAGAGATGCAAACTAAGCAGGAGTTTCAACCTGGCCCTGATACCTGGGATCAAGGTAACTGTGCAGGAACGAGGTGGACAGACAGACAGACAGAGAGAGTCAGGCTCCCAAGAGCATGAGAAGCCAGGCTAAAGGGGATCATCGAGGGTCACAGTCAGAGGTCGCTTAGGTGTCCCTCCCCACTCAGAAATGTATTCTGTGCTCCCCTTGCTCAAACCTTGGGAAACGCTGGGTTACTTTCCCAAGGGAGGCAGTTCCTTAGTGGGGCCACCCATGGGCCAGGGTCTCCAGCATCTGTGGCCCCCTGCACCTCTGGCCTTGGATTCAGTGATTCCACCTGACATGCTGTGCCCGCTGCCGGCCCCACCAAGACCCAATTTTAGGGCCCCACCTCTTTTTGGCAAGGCTCTAGTCCTCACAAGGCAGTCTGTTCACCAGCCCGCACAGCCCCCTTCCTTGGCGTCGGTTGGGGGTAGGGGTGGTGGGGGGGGGTTTGCACTGTGGCAGGAATTCCTCAGATAATCTCTGTTCCCAGCAGCTCCTCTGGTGCCCTGGGGCAGAGCAACACCCAAGGTCTTCCCCAGCTCTCTAGGAGGTCCCCAGATCCCTTGGGACTCTCCAGCTGGCTTCACCTCCTTTCTCAGGGATGCTCAGGGCCAAGTGTAAATAAAAATGATGACTCACCAACTGAATGTTTAGGCCTTTGAATGCTTATTCCCTCCCCTCAAAGAGGGTTATGCAACTGGTGCCCAGAGCACGCCCCCCCCAGCTCCCCGGAGCAGACGGCCAAGGGGAGGCATGTATCCTGAGACTGTCAAAGAGCCAGTGTTTCAAAATGACGCCTCTTCCACCAGAGACAGAACCCTCGCTCAAGCTCGCTCTTTTGCCCAGTACCTCACCATGGTTTGTTGAGTCAGCATAAAGGGTGAGTGGGACATCTTTTATCTGTTTCTATACCAGGTTCCTCTACAGTCTTCTTGACTTTGCAGTAGTCACTCTTCAATGACCTGTGCCACTAGAATGCAGTAGTACAGTTGACACAGGACCCCAACCATGGATATTTGGCTTTGGAAGGAATTTCAGTCCTTAAATATGGATGTAGGTGTCTCTCTGTTGGAATGTGATCACTGGAGATGGAAGCACCCCTTGGGGGCTGGGAACATCCCTCTCTTATTCCCAGATGTGCTCTGGGAGCATTTCACTCCACACCATTTTATTCTAAACAACATTCCAGTGTAGACGGATGGTAAAAGGGACTCATTCTTCCTCTCCTTGCATCCATCCCTCTCCCTCTCTCAAGCTGCTCCTCTTCCCACTAAGAGCTGGGGCTCTGTCTCCCCCAACTCCTGAATCTGAGCTGCCCCTGTGTCTTGCTCTGGCCAACAGAGTGTGGCAGAAGTCACAGCTCGAGCACTGGGATGCTTGCTCTCTCAGAAACCTGCCACCACCAGAGCGCAAGGCCAGACTAGCTCGCTGGGAGGCTGAGGGAGCACGTGGGGAGAGCTCAGTCTGGCCCCTGCTAACCCCAGCCAGCCAGCCAGCCAGCCTGCACATGGGTAAGCGAGCCTTACCAGGCTCACCCAGGCCTGAAGAACCACCCAAGTGGGACCAACCCACAGAATAAATGGTGGTTGCTTTAAGCCACTATGTCTTGGGGTGCTTGGTACATAGCAGAAACCCCTTCCTCCTACCACAGGAAGGTTCCAGGACATCCCATTCAAATTGTTCTTTGCACTTACAGGTAGAGAGAGAAATGCATTCCGCCTTCTTCAGGTAGTGGAGGTAAATGTGGGCGGGAGACCCTATACTCCACTTCCCTTTCCACTCTTTCACTACACAGCCAACCTGTATTTTAAAGAATTTTCTTAGGAGATCAACAGTAGATATATCATCAAAGCAAAGCCTTTTCTGTCCCAACTCTGTTGCTGAGGGTTCCACCAAAAAGAAACAATATAACCAACATCTGACACCACAGCAGACCACAGAGAGCAGAAATAAGTCACATCAATTATTTTGCAAAGAGCCCTGTTCAAGCAACCATGAAAAAAAATGTTTTATGGTGAACTCTGGTTTAATAATCTCTTTATCACATTCCCCAAACAATTTTTCATTATTGTCTTCATTTTATTCTGTTTACATCTGTCATATACGTCTCTGTAATACATAGACACAGACTTCTATTTGCCATACATTTCTACCACTTAATTGTCTTTGGATCAATATTGACCGTAGGGATCAGGGTGAGAAAGAATACTACCTTTTTCTGAAGGTAGATTCTTAATGTGTTTATTTAGCACCTTTTATTTAAGGAGCTCAAGATACTTAAACATTCACTGTAGTATCCTTTTGTTACCTCTGGGTAAGGAAAGTGTCAAAAATGATCGCTAGTGCTTTTTTATAAAAAGAAATAGGAAAGTACAGAAAGGTGAAAATAGGATCCATGAGATGATGACAGTCACAGTAGAAACTCGGGTCTTTAGCTTAGCATTCTACTCTGCGAACCATATTTTGTCCGTTAAACACACTCCATATCAAAATGTATAATAGTTTCTTCCATTTTTATGACATGTCTCTTCGGAAGGATGTTAACTAAATGGGCAGAACAAACAGTAGATTCCCACAAACTAATCATCCCGGCAATGCAGTTACTTCCTGCAGCTTTTTATGTAAGCTAAGGAGTCCCATAAATTAGAGGGCTACCCTTTGTTTCTCCACTAAAAATTGTAATTGAGGGGCACCTGGGCAGCTCAGTTGGTTAAGCATCTGACTCTTGATTTCAGCTCAGGTCATGATCTTAGGGTGGTGAGATTGAGCCCCACGTTGGGCTCTGTGGTGGGCATGGAGCCTGCTTGAGATTCTCTTTCCCTCTCCCTCTGCCCTGCCCCCCCAATCATTCTCACTTTCTCTCTCTCTCTCAAAAAAAAAAAAAAATCATAATCGCTATTATTCCAGCGTTTCCAAGAGATCTGCCACCAGTAGGGAGAAATCAGTGACCAAAGGTCATTCCTTCAGCCGGGTACCTGTGGCCATTTAAGTCTGGACACTGACCACTATTAGCACTCTTAAAACCTATCAGAACCACAAAATTAATTTAATATGTTTAGGTATTTTAACTTTTCTTTGGTATATGAGAATACTCACTGACCACAACAGATGGAAGAAGTCAGGTGCTTCTTTTTAATCTGACTCACGCTGTGTGTTTCCTCACGAGAGAGCTGATCTTAGAGAAAAGTATCTCTGTGATAAGTTTTCTTAAATTCACAATATGAGGATTTGGTTTTTAAACAAGATGCTTTGGAAAATAGCATAAATGTTTTCCATTTCTACAAGACTAAATTACAGATGCACAATTATTTAGGAAGAAAATAGGGCCTATTGCCTAAACACACTTACATGGTTCTTACCTAGAAAAAGAAAATGCAAATTAACATTTTGGCTTTATCCTTCTTTTTTTTTTTTTTTTAAGATTTTATTTATTTATTTATTTATTTGAGAGAGAACGAGCAGGAGAGGGGCAGAGAGAGAGAGGAAATCTCAAGTAGAGTTGGAGACCCTGAAATCATGACCTGAGTGGGAACCAAGGGTGGGATGCTTAACCGACTGAGCCACCCAGGTGCCCCATCCCTTCTTTCTTGAACTTTCCTGGCAGCTGCTTGTCACCCTGTACTCAGGCTATCCCATGTCCTATTCATTTCCCATGTATTTTTGAGAGAGACATCAAGAATAAGAATGCCAAGCTGCACCAACTTCGATTTTAGAAAGTTAGTTACCAAAGTACGTGATTGCTTCTGCTGGAAGGAGTAAATACATTCACCGCAGGGATGAGCCATTTGGGGATGAGGGAAAGAAGGACACATTACAACTTAGTTCTGCCTGCAGATTGACGGAAACTTAGAAACATTCAGGGGAAAAGTAGGGTTTCCCTTTTTCCTTCCTCTAAAGAAAATTAGAACACAAAAAAAATTTTCAAAAACGAAAAGCCCTTCCATTTGCTCCCTGAGCCTCCCTCTAGGCTTCACAGTCCTGGCCTTTTCACCAAAAGTGCTTAGTACAGCCCTCCCTGCCCCGGCCCCAAAAACCCATCACCAAAATACGGGCAACCTTTCAAGAAGGGGTGCAAAAAATATGTAAAGAAGACCAGCACCCTTAGGAGAATTTTCAAGAAAACCCTTACATAGTAAAAACAAAAGGGGGAATAGTATTAAGACAATGTTACGGAAATGAAATACAAATACAAGGGGTGGGGGGGAAGCAGACCCAAAGGGAGCAATCATTAAAACATATGCCATAAAGAGACAAACTAATGATGAAATGATAATGGGGAATAGGATGGGACGGAGGAAAACCGAAAACCCTGAAAGGAGGTAAAAAGTGGAGCGACGTGTACCTGTGTCATCAGTTGATATGTGACTGTGGGTATCAGTAAATGCTCACAACAAATGCAGGTTTTTAAAAAGTGCCCGATTGTACAGAGTACGGCGGGCGCGGACTGTCAGGTCACCCGACGCAGATGTACGGAGAGGGAGCGCCGTCGGGGAGCAGATCCGCGCCCCCGCCGCGCCGCGCCGCGCCCCGCCCCGGCGCAGGTGCGCGCGGTCCCCAGGCCCCGCCCAGGCGCAGGTGCGAGGGCCCCGCCCCCACTCCCGACCCGCCCCCGTCTGCGCGCAGGGGCAGGCGCGCCTGGCTCCAGGACGCGGCCCCTGTGGTGCCCGCAGAGGACCGGTCGGAGGTCCGGAGGTCGGCGCCCACCCCCGGGCAAGGCGGCTGTGAGGGGCGCCGAGAGCCGCTGCGGGTCCCCGGGTGCTCAGCGCCGCGCCCCTGCCGCGCCGGCCTCGGCCTCCCCCTGCTCCTGCACCGGCCGCGAGGCCTTGTCGGGCCCGGGGGCGCCGCGCTCCTGCAGCCCCCCGCTCGGGCGCGCGTCCAGGCCGGCACACGTGTCGGGAAAGCGCGGCCCGAGGCCGGCGAACGAGTCGCAGCGCGGCGAGCTCTCCTCCTGCACCGGGTGGCCCACCGGCTCCCCCGCGCCGCTGCCCGGCCCCGCCGGGCCCTCCTGGGAGTTCTGGCTGACGTAGACCACGATGATGTCGCCCTTGAAGTTCATCACCTGCCCGCTGGAAATAAACGTGGAGTTACTGTTTCCAGTCACATTTCCTGCAGGGGGAGAAGGAGAGAGAACACGCAGAAGGTGAGTCATGGGTTCTTGGTGAGAACCTGGTCTTGTGAGGGAAGTTTCCCAAGGAAACAGGCTGTCCCCTCGCCGACACCGTCTCAAAGCGCCGGGACACTCGCAGCGGTTCCTTCATGTGTCAGCTCACCAGGCCCACTGCGGCTGAGGAAGGGAGCGGGGGAGAAGGCGAAAGAGAAGCAAGACTACGGGCCATGCTGCAGTTTCGTCATCTGCCACGCGGGACTCACGACACCGGCAGGAGAGCACACCAGGTGTCAGGCTGTGACAGGTGCGGCGGTTACCTGGGAGAAGGTGCGTGCGGAGATCCCCAGGCAGCAGCAGTGGCCTGGCTGCGGTCAGATGCATCAGTGAGGAAACGCGCTGCTGGAGGGAAGGTGGTTGCTTGATAGGACCCTGGAGCCCAGGAGCCCAGCCTCCCCTGTGACCAGACTGTCACACCTCTGAACCTTCCACGGAGGTCCCTAACAGTTCAGCCCTGGAGGGCCATGGGTCCACCCAGGCTCAGTATTTAGCAGAGGTTAAATCAATTTCCTTAACACCTTTAACTCTTGGAACAAAAGAGATTCATAAGACCAAAATGGAAGAAAAGAAATCCTGTAAATCACTCTTTCCTTCTGAACCCTGAGGTGTGTTTTGTCCCTATGGGGTTCTACCAGCACCTCTTTGTGGGTGACTAGATTTGATCAGTCTTTAATTGGTGAGCCTTTTGGGAAACAAATAGAAAGTTCAACAAGGGAAGTCGCTACTCATTCCTCTTCTATTTTAAAAACGGTATCTAGAAACGTCCCAGGGGAAAATGAATGCTATAAACCAAGCAGATGCAGAAATGTCCCAACACTCAGTATCAGAAACAGAATCTTTCATTCTGAGGAGAAGAGGGGAACATCAAAATGGCTCCTCACTGTTAATGTCCTCATCTTTTTTTCTCAATTACTGTGACCCAGCTTCATAATAATTTATACAAATTAGCTTTCTAGCACTACTCCGCACGAAGAGATTTCCCCCATATTTGGAAGGCAAGTTTTGGATAGTTTGACTAAAATACCAACAGTCTACAGGAAAATCCCACTGGGAAGACTTCCTTCCACCCACAAGGTACCTTGAGAGGAGCTGAGATGAAGACCCAGTGACCCAGGGAACTACAAGGATTTTAAATGAAAACAGATTTCAAGTGCGAGCGACAAATCGGAAAGATTTATGACTCATGCTATTTCTGCCACAGGCAGTTGTATGGGGTATATTTCAAGATGGTGGTGGGGATTTATCTGCCTAATAAACCCCCCAGCAACATGGGGGAGGCCAGCTAGTGTTTCCATTCACCGGCTAGCTGGATCACTCCACGTCCTTTGGAATTTATCAGCAAGTGCTCCTAACATATGATGTACTCTACACTAGGGGTCTACTTTCTAGTATGTCTATGCCTTTTTTCTCCCACCAGTTACCAAGTTAGTTCTCAGTTCTGTTTTCACCGGGTGAACTCATTAGGAAATCTAATTAACTATCTAGTTTTTATGTGGTAAGATGTAAGTGTGATAAAGTAGGGGAAGTGTTTCTGTAAAAACTCAAGTGAGTGCAAGGACCCAAATAGAAGTGAGTCAGTCATTCAACGCAAAAGAAAAGACAATATCCACAAATGGCTGAACTGCTACGGTGACACGGACAAGAGAACTGCTGAGAAAAAGAAAACATGAAAACTGCAGAAGGGTCTTGCACTCAAATTTGCTTTGCAAATTTCTACAATTTCTCATTCCACACTAAAGACAGAGAGAGTGGAAGTTAAGATCATGAGGTCAATGTAAAAAAAAACAACAAAAAACTATCATCAGCCAACACATATGGCCCTTTACTAAAAATAATCCATGTGAATGTTAAGTTTTGCGTTTTAAGTTTAAAAAGATGCCCAAGATATGGGACTTGTAAATGACTTCTCCGAGTAACTCAGCAACTACTGACCCTGGGCTGATACCAGGGCCTCTCCTGTGGCGGCTGCGGGAGGAGAGAGCGCCATGACACTGAAGTCTTCCCAGTGGAGAGATCACTAGTTAGTAACAGACATCAAAGTGAGAGATTAACAACAGCATGAAGATACCATCAACATTCTATTCTAATTGAAACATACCATGTTTTTTTAAATAAAAGCAGCAATTTAAAAAGTTGTTTAAAGGTGTGATTTTCTGCATATAGTTCCTCTAGTCTGTTATTAGAACATCACTGGCTGCTGGTTCTGCTGGTCTCAGTAGAATGGAGACCTACACAGAGGGCATCGCTAGACACTATGTGATTGGCTTATGGCTTTGAATTTAATCTCCCATCTTCTTCATCCTCTTCATACGGAGATTTATCCACTTATGTCATGGTACGTATGATTTCTCCCTCGTTTTAATTAAAATTTTTTTCCCCAACAAATCATCCTCATGAATCTACTGTTGCTGACCTTCTTCCTGGCCAGAATCTTCAGTTTGTCTGAGCTCAAGTCAAAGCCCATTTTTCCTTATCATCTTGCACATCAAGATCTTGTTTAATTATGCACATTAAGAATTTCATCCCATGCCAATTTGCCTCATGGCAAACAATATCTTTGATATATTCCATAGGATCTATATTCTTTTTTTTTTTTCCATCTAAAATGGAACTCAAAACTTTTCACCTGAGATATATTTAAACATTTCAGAATCCTTTGACTCAGAGTGGATCAAGAATATTCTTTTGGGGCTAGGGTAGAGACAGACTGGCGGGGATGGACAAGGTCTTTAAATTCCTGACAATTAGGATGTAAAGAAAAGGTATCTAGAAGGAGTGTAAGATTCTAAAGCAATTTTATTTTTTGGGGGTGCCTGGGTGGCTCAGTGGGTTAAGCCTCTGCCTTCGGCTCAGGTCATGATCCCAGGGTCCTGGGATCGAGTCCCACATCGGGCTCTCCGCTCAGCGGGGAGCCTGATTCCTCCTCTCTCTCCGCCTGCCTCTCTGCCTACTTGTGATCTCTCTCTGTGTCAAATAAATAAATAAAATCTTTTTTTTTTTTTAAAGCAATTTTCTTTTTCACATTTCTTTTATTCTTTTAACTCAAGGTACAATTAATGACAAAGACGTCCTTCGATTAAGTCCGAGTGCGTTCCGTCCATGCTGACTTTTATGAGAGTAGTAAACTGACATAGACTGGAGTTCCTTAAAAAGCTCTACTGATCTGCCAATGACAGTAAGGGGCAGCAGAGCCGTCTTCAGGGGCACGTGACCTGTGTGGTTAACGGCGCCCTACCCTCAGAAGGCCATGCTTGATTTAATGCTCTGCTGTCATCTTGGACTGCACATGGACACCTCGTGTTCTCATGTCTCACTGGGCTCTGGAAGTAATGTAGCAGGACCGAGTGGCTGACAGCTCTTAGGACTGCTGCTCTGGGGTCTTCCCCCACTTCAATGCTTTAATTTAGTGTGACTCATTTTGGAGGTAACCTCTTCTAAGTTGGAGATCTTTCAGTATTGCAGAAGTATTTGTGAATCTGACTTTCTGTACCAATACAGAACTCGAGGTTTGGGAAGACACCGAGTCACAGAGGCTATCTACCGGGACCACTGAAAAGTGGATCCTTTGATATAGTTCCCTGATGCTCAAGCCACTTGTTATTTGCTGTGGAAACATCTGACACCGACTTTCTGGTGTAGCACTGACGCTCGTCCCTTGGAGAAAAAGTCTAGATGGTATCAGTGCTACCTCTGATGCTTTGCCTACAGCCTCGAGTTTTGGTTTCTTTAGAGTGCAATGAGAACCAAGCCACCTGCCAAGCAGTCTGAGTGCAGAATCCTTCTCGAGCTGTCTTCCCTCAATGTTCACAGTTGTCTCACCCACCTCAGCTTCCACAGCAAACAGATTTTGGATTCACTCTTTGAATAGTCCAGAAGCACTGAACGGTTTTCACAGAAATGGTTCTCGTGCTTTTCAAACTCACTTGTTTTTACCAGCTCACCAGTTTCAATAGGATCAGCTCACAGACCCGGGGCAGGCAACACCCATGGATTTAGTAAGCACAGCCATTTGCCAAGTGGGAGCAGAAGGGCTGGGTATTCATTAGGTGTGAGTGCTCCCAATCCAGAATTTACTGAGCGCTCCCCCACGCCGGGCTGGCAGCATTGCAAACACCAGCTCCCGGCTACTGCCATGGGGGCATTCCAGGCTGACTTCTTTCTTCCCCCTTCCCCCTCCACCACTGCCTTAAGAAGGGAAACTGTCAAAGAGCCTTCTTTTCTCATGGCTTGTCCTAATGCAGACTCACCCGCCAGTCATCTAGTAATGTCAATGTCATCCTAGTGTTGTGGTCTCTGAAGAGCAGAAGGTGCTCAGTGCTGACTAAAGGGATGAGGTTTCAGCAGCTGTCCAAGTCCAGGAGGGTAAGTGGGGAGGGACAGAGGAGAGAGCAGGGGTCTGGAAGCTCTGGTCTGGTCCTGCTCGGCCCGCCCTAGCCGTGGGCTTTGGCACAAGCCCTTCTAACAACCTCTCCAGATGTCAGCCTGATCGTTTGTGAAATGAGGATCAAGTTGCAAGCCCTCAGCCTGGCAGGTGCGGCCACACAGAGCAGCACATAACACCTGTTAAATGAAAGAATGAATGAATGAATGAATGAACGCCCGCAGGATGGTGTAGGGGTCAAATGAGGTGGGAGGTTTGAAAATGCTGGGGAACCACCGACAACGAGGCGCAGGCGCACTTCTCCTGGCAGGTGGGACTCCCAGGGAAAGAGATGGGAGGAATGTGCCGGGCAGTAATGTTATTTTTCCATGTGTGTCTTGTTGGAAGATCTCAACGTGTCTTGAAGACCAAGAGGGCATTTTCCTCCAGAAACCCAAGCAACTTTGTTTTTCTTTGCCAAGCTAATTCATCATTATGACTGTCACTGGCTTGAACCCCCATCATATGGTTCTGCCCTAAAGCCCATGGTCTCGTCTCTCCTCACACAAGTCAGCGATGACT